TTTGGCCTGACATCTCTTGACAGGGTTCACAAATTCCCCCTGGATCTCCACCCCTCCATTCTATACTGTCTCCCTACTGCTTCAAGATGGTTTGATTCCCATGCAATGTCTGACTAACCTCACATGGTGACCTAGACAGTTTGCCTCTGCAAATTCCTGCTCTTTCTCCTCCTACCCACATCAGAACTAGCTAGCTGGGCAGACTGAAACCTGGAAGGGCAGGGCATCCCTGCTACAGCAGATCTTTCAAGACAGGCACAGGGAAGGTGCCTACAGTCTTAAGACGTTTCCCTCTGCAGACCACCTTTGGATTACTTTTTCAAATTAAAAAAATGTTTACTCTGCCCTACCGCCAAAAAGACTCTTAAAGAGGTGTACATGTCATCAGTAAAAACAAGGCAGTCCGGTCCTGTTTAAAGGCTGATAATTTTAATACTACATCCCAAAAGGAAAAAGAGATGGTTATAAATAAAGAAATGATGGTGAGGAAAGTGGATGGGAAGCAAACACAGGCATCCATTCTTAAATTTAAATAGTATTGTTCGAACAATGACTAGCTGGCATAGAAACCATTCAGAGGGAAAGGGGACCAGCTAGTTGCAGCAGACAGTCATGCCTCCCAGCGAGGCTGACCAAATGGCTACTGCCAGGTGACAGTCAAGGGATGGAGGGGGCCTTCCCACAAAGTTGACAAGGCTGTTGCTGCATTTTAAAAGAAGTCCATTAGGTCAACTCAGAGACTGCGAAAGTGTGCAAGCTTTTGAGATTTCCAGATCTCCTCATCAGACAAAATGTTGAAGAAGCAGGGACAATGAAGTCTTTCATACTTTTATGATTTTTTTGAATAGGCCTTATTAATTATACCACACAGATTGTGGAATGTTTCTAAAGGCCAATATGGCTGCCTTTGTCACATGCTTGAAGAAATTTATAGGAAACTGAAAAAGTAGCCCAAGGCTGCAAAAGAAGTCAGTAGCATGGCAGAACAGAGGCAGATTCAGCTTATTTGCTGAGCACCTCAGCTCAGTGCTTTGCCTCTATTAGAAACCAATACTAGTAATATCTCCATCCAATGGAAATGGCTATTTGTTTAAAGCAAGCATCCGGCTTAGCCTTCTTCAAGCTCACAGACTTCAAAGGAGAAAACGTGTCTGCATGTTTGGAAATAAATGGCTGGGTAAGCAATTAAAAACAAAGTCAGCAGAACTGGAAATGTTACCTGTGGTGAGGATGGCATGAATTTAAAGAAATCAGGCAGTCAGATGGAATTTCCAGGATAAAGTTTGCCTGGCTGTCAAAAGCTTAGGAAAAAAAGTTTATGGACTCTTTGAAAACACCTGGCAAGTTGGGTTGGGAAGGTGCAGAAGGCAGGCTGAAGAAATCTGAAGGAAATCCTCAATTACCCAGTGACTCAAAACATACTGAAACTGGTCTAATGGCACATCCCTAGCAGAGACATTTTGTAGCTTCAAAGGAAAGGACGGGGCACAGCTCCAGTTTCTTCAATATCTGGGAAGAAGAAGGCATGTAGCATGTATCCATAATGTAGGTTTCTGGTTTCCTGCATGGCAAAAGACTAGGATGAGTACACGCATAATACAGTACTGGGCCTATTGAAAACTATTTGGGAACAGAAGGGCAAGTGTCCATAATTCAATATGCAAGGACACAAACGTGTAGACGGAATTTCTGTGGTTGAGACATTCCTTACATTCATCCTGCTCACATCCTATCTTTCATACCCCTCCCCTAATTAGAGATGAATGTTGCAATGCAATGGCTAAGCCTGTGTGTGAATATAAATTCCAAAATATAATTTCCACACATTCAGCCCCAGAAATATCCACTGCAGGAAGAAACTAGAACATAAAACAGGTGCCAGCTGTGAATGTGCAACGTTTGCCAAAAATAAAAGCAAACAGAAGTGGGAGAGTAGAAGTTGTTAAGCTCCTAAGCCCTGCTTGCTGCTCTGTCCAGAATCACTAAGCTGAATTAACCATAAACTCCAAATAAGCCCTGGGAAAGAAGAGGAAATGGCTGGTTTACTGGCTTACAGATGGGACTCAGGCATGTCTCTCAGGGAGGAGTATTTTTATTCTGTACCTACCTGCTTGACCTTGGACTCCTACCTTGGGTCAAGTACCAAGATCACATTTTGAGGGAGGGCAGTTTGGCCTGGTATGAACTTATAATATGGGTCTGTCTCCCATATCTTCTGTGATCCCATCTCAGGATTTATGAAAAAAAAAAACCTATTTTAATTCTGAAATTTGACCCATGTGTTTCTATCAAATGCCCGAGCACTGAACCCCTACTTTTTAACATTTTGTTTAATATAACATCCAGCCTGAAGAAGAGTCCTAAAAAGTTTGTTGATATATTGTGTAACTGGTTGGTTGGTTGTGTTAGGGAAATCAAGATAAATCCTGGTAGAAAAAGGTTGCTTATATGTGCCTTTGTGTTATAAAATCAAACCTGCACCCTTTTCTCAGGAAGCAGCAGAATCCCAAGCCAGGTTACTGTTTAGCATTGCTGTTCCTTTAAGAAGATGGGATTCTTAGCTGGACTGAGAAGCTGCTGTAGACAAACATGATTAGTGAGGAAATACCTGTGTTCTCCGCTGCAGAAAAATGGAAACTTTTGTTTCTGAATGGCCCCACCTAAGACCCTCAGAGGCAAGCGCCTGCACAGTGTAGTTGTCAGACCAGATTTCCTGAATGGTTCCTCAATCAGACACATTTGCATGTTCAAGCAGACACAGAGGCTGAGCCAAACTGTCAGGAATTCACTGAATTGATTTGTCAAGAAGGTTCATTCAGGGAAATTTTCTATTCTATTGTTACAGGCATTTTTGATTAGTTTAGAGTATTGTTTTGTATATGAAGACATCAAGAGGCTATTATGTTAACATTATCTGGAAACCTAATACTCTCTGTGTGACTGGAAGGTTATACAAATGTCTGTAAATGGGCTGTGATTCTGTAGTTGGCAGGTGAAGACCACTACCCAGTAGCATGCTGTTGTAAGTAACTGCAGGGGGCCTGAGTGATCTCACCAGCAAAAACACTGGGTTTCGAGGTGACTCATGCTTCCCTGTGGGTCCTGGTATCCATTCTCACCATTGGTAAAGAGACTCTGACTGTTGTAAAGAAGATATTATCCCAGAGGCACCAAAACTTTTCGGGTCAATGCACACATTTGGAATTTCCAGAGAGTGAGGGAAAGCTACTTCCAAAGCTACTTCCCAGAAAGCAAACCAATGATGCTTAAAAAATAGCTTTGAGGAGCAGAAGTGGAACTGAAAGTTACAAAACCATGCCTTTTTTCTGCTCCAACACCCATTTTCTAGAAGCCAAACTGATCAGCCACTTCACTTTGTAGCACATCAGCCTTCCAGTTAGTAAATGGGAAGGACAGGAAGCTTGGAGGTGTTTGCAGGAGCCCTGATGGAGCCCTGTGGGCACCATGGCAAGGACCCCAGTATGATCTGTCCATGTTTGATTTTTTTCAAAAGAACATTGTAATGGACTAACACAGCTGCAAATATTTTATAAACAGCCCATTTCACCCTAATATTCTATTTTTTGCCTCCTTCATTACAAAATCATCAGTAACCCTCCCTTGTAGCCTAACATGGCAAAGTGATGTGTATACAAGGAGAAGACACTTCCACACATATAAAGATCCTACTGCAGATCGTACCAGCAGCAATGCTCCCACCCTCCCAGGGATCAGTCACCCTAATTATCATGGCACTTTGTTGCCCCCACAAGCTTTCTGTCTGCCTCCCCCTACCCACCCACCCCAAACACGAGGAACTCTGGGACTGGTCGTTCTTGAGAGTGCATGCATAATGCATGGAGGGGGGAAGGGCTCAACACTGTTGGGCCCTGCTCCTGCACGTCTGAGGATGCTAATACGGCCCTCTCTGGACTCAGGGTGGCTGCTCCCTGGTGTCTTCCTGAGGAGGAGAAAGCCTTGTGGTGCCTTTTGTAGCGAAGCCCTCTACCTGCATGTGTAGCTCAGAGGCCTGCTATTCTGGAGACAACGATTTGGGATCCTCTGAAAATGAGGGGTTAGGTAAAGGACTATGAGAAGGGAGCACAGATTTATCATTTATGCCTGTGGGAGACATTTGGCTATTCCTAGGTGGAGATGCTTCTGAAGACTACACAAAGGTGGTGGAATGAGCAAACTATGCCCATATCACTCTGTAGTTAAGTTTGTTCCAGAGCCTTCCCTTTTCATTTGGAAGGAAATCACTCTTTTGTTTTCTTGTTTTCTTCTACAGAGGTCTACACGCCAAGTGAAAGCCCCCAAAACAGAGGTAGGTGACACACTGGACTGTCAGTGGATTTATTAGTGACTGTCCGTACTTTCCACAGGAGCTGCCTGTTGCATGTAGGGAGCCAGATGAGGGACCAACATGGATTATTCTGCTTGGTCTGTCACTGAGATGCTACGTGTTCTCAATCCCCCCTTAAATTAACCACAAAACATGATACATGGATGCTGACAACAGGAGTATGAAAAATGTTCTAACCCAGTTCTCTGCTTCCTGTTACAGGGAGGAAGAATTCATAAAGGGTACCTCCCAAGCACCTGGACAGCCACAGTCTGACGCACATAGATGCAGATTTAAACATTACTTAATTTAAATAGATATGCAGGTTGCAGTAATGGGGAAGACTGGCTGGGTGAGCTATGTGCCTGCTCATTTGTCATCCAGGCACTTATCTCTGATGGGCAACTTCAAGGTCCTTCTCCTGTCTTACAGGTTCTTCTGGCTCTCTATTTTTACACCCAACTTGGACTAGACAACCTTTCAGCTACAGGGTGTTTTTAAAATAGAGGACTGTTCTCAGATAGACCTTTTAATAGAGGATTTTCCTCTATAAAACGGGGTACCATTTGCTTACAGTCTTCACAATCTCTCTCCTTAGCTCATCATTTCTAGCTTCTTGGTGCGCTCAGCCATCGTGTCCCGCTATGCCTCCACTCAAGTGTCAACTACCATGAGTAACCCACACAGTGAGGCAAAAGAAGCTGTCTTTGACTTGGACCTGCCCAGTTCAGCCTTCATCTCCAATTTTACCATGTGAGTCTGGGCTGGAGAAAGCCCCTTCCTACTATCCTGGAACTGAGGCTCCACCACAAAGCCCTGTATGGGCCGGGATGTGGGTGGCAGCTGGGGCAGGCAGAATGCTGGGACCAGGGTGCTAGTGTGAGACCAAGTCCTACAGCTTAGTAGGGATAGAGGCTGGTGGCATGGCCAGCAGTCCAGGGTCAGAACCAAGGCAGCAGGCAGCCCAATATTATACAGGAAAGAGAGGGAGCATGGCCCAGAAACAGTCCAGTGGTCTGATGCCAGGAGCAGGACTCAGGGCATCGTGATGCAGAGGCCAGAACACAAGAAAGTCCTGAAGACTCCTTGCATTGCTATGGCAAAGAACAGCAGTGCCAGAAAGCCTTTTATGCTGGTCTTCAGGCCCTCCAGCTGCACTGCATAATTGCCCTTCAGTTGCTCCCTGAAAGAGCCTGCAAGGGTGTTTCTGGTTCTGCAGGCACTTGCAGGGTCACTCAGGTCCTGATCCCAACAAGCCCCCATTCTGTCAGGCCAGAGGAGCCCCAGCTCAGCAGTAGAGCACCAGCTGTACACGCAGAGGGTCCTGGGGTTCATTTTTGGCACCTCCAGAAGGATTGGGCAGGAGCAAGTGATGGAAAAGGACCTTTGCTTGAGAGCTGGAGAATGACCAGAGTAGGCTATGTGGTGGGCAGACTTCAGGCTTGATGTATCTGTTTTTGTTGTTTACTAGAATATCAAAATTCCCGACCAGAGCCAGATGCAAAATGGTGCCTCGGAGAGACTTCCCATTTAGAATGAAAGGCTAGAGCATGGGTCCTCAAACTATGGCCTGTGGGCTGGATCTAGCCCACCATGCCACTTATCCGGCCCGCCATGCCCATTTGGACCTGCCACACGCACTCCTGCGCACGTGCCCACCACCGCCCACCTTGACCCGCACGTGGGGAGGCAGCAGTTTGCTCGCTCAGAGAAAACAGTCTCCAAGTGAACAAGCCACTGCCTCGTGTGTCCACCTCGCAGCGCGTGCCCGCCACCACCTTGCCTCTACTCGCCGTGTGCGCCCGCCCGTGCCACACCTTATCTCGCTGCGCAACTGCACGCAGCGCCCCCGCCCCCTCACCAGCCTGCACCCAGCACCAGCAACTTCCAACTGGCCCCCTGGTGAAAAAGTTTGAGGACCCCTGAGCTAGAGTATCTCTGGACCTATGCTTAGCCCAATAACCTTTTTCCCTCACAGCCCTTGCATGTGCTAAGATTCAGGCCTACTTTTCTGCCACAGCCTTTCCTAATTAGAACAGCCTCATCTGGTGGGAGAAGGGGAAGCCCCTTAGTTGCTTATTTGTAAAATGGATAAACCACCCTTCATCCAGAGAATCCCAGGGCAGGGTGCACAACAATAAGTATGAGCAATCAATGCAATAGAAAAACCATACAACTGTACATTAAAAGCAAATTAGGTTGCTCCTACTGGTAAACCATTAGGAGTCAGAAATACTTGCTGAAATCACCCCGAGATCTGCCTATAGACCCTGACTGACCTTCTCCTGTTCTGGAGAAGGTAATAATGGGCTAGATGGATGAAGAGACTGACCTGGCATGAAGCTGCTTCTGGTGTGCCATACGCAAGGGACACGTAAATTCCTGCTCCCACTGCATCGAAATCTGTGAGCTCCAGTTCTGCTCCCGTGTGCCCCTACAGGCTGGAGGTACACCACGCTTTCTCTTGGTTCTACAGTATCTGGGTTTGTTAGGCTGGCTTCAGGCCTTACTGCTCTTAGAGCATCCCTACAAATCTGGGACACAACACCCACTAGTAAAATCAGCTTGACTTTCTTTCAGCTGTTGGCCAGTGTCACTGTGAAAATGGGTGGTTGGATTATGAGTTCAGTCCCTGATGAAATGAGTACTCTCTGAATCTTATTTCGATCCACGGAGTATTTCATTTCACGCCTATTTGGTTGTATGAAATCAATTCCACCTGAATTGGGAAGGCATGGGGTGGTTTCCAGCTTCCTAGTCATTACTTCCCATAAATTTTTGGTAATGCTTAAACAAGGGTTAGAGCCTTAGAGTGCGTAGGATCCCTAGGGAGCTACAGACAGTTCCCAAGTTACAAACCTCCAAGTTATGAACAACCTGTACTTATGAATAAACTGCCATACAGTCTATTAATTTTTTAAGATACTGTAGAAAATTATCACCATAGAGAGGAAGTGAAAGGAGAGAGAGAGGGAAGCCTCCAAAACAACACCATAGAGTGAGGGGAAGGAAAAGGGTAGAGAGGGAGGCCTCCAAAGCACACCTGCCTGCCCCACCTATCTGGGGAGGGAAATCTCTCAGGCGTTTCCTTGCCGCAAAGAGAAGGCACTGGTGAGTTTGGGCAGAGGTGGAGTGAGGTATTCACATTTTTTCCACTTCCCCAGGGGTCCTGTTCACCTAACCCTTACAAATATGGAGGGCCGCTTACACATGATCTGACTTATGCACAAATTCGACTTGCACGTTTCCATTTTCTCAGGAACTCAGGGACTCCCTGCATTATCAATTGGTTCTTATCAAACTTGACTACTGGCTGTGCTGCCTGGGGCTGGGATTTGTCATCTGGGAGATACCAGGCTGCTTATCCTGGATCATGCTGTAGGACTAATGCGAGAGTTGCTTACCGTGACACCACTAACCTCAGAGACGGAGCCACATGGGAGCATCAAGCGCACCGCTGCTGCATTGCAGAAGCAGACGCAAGGACTCCAAGGCTTTGCTACCAGCTTCGAGAAGGCCTAGAACTTAAAGCTGAGGGAACCAGGATATCATCCCCGTTCTGCAGCATTACAGCAGGTTCCCTGCACAGTAGCATGAAGAATCACAGGCAAACGAGTTAGGAATTTGGCTCTTCCAGTTCTGGTCTTTCGGGCTTAATTTCTATACACTAAGACTCAAGTCAGTTGATAAACCTCTTTGGTTTGGAAGCCCTTCCCTTCAATCCCTAATACATGGGTAACTCTTATTTTTTCAGTAGTTATGCTTATATGTTAATTATGCTTATATTCTTTCATAATTTCTTCTAAAAGGCCCACTAATTCCCTGGGTGGTATACAAGTAAATGCAAAACACAAAACATTTGAGTGGTATATTAGAAGCATGTAATAAAATCAACATAAAACCTGCAGCAAAGAAGAAAAACAGTGCAGCACAAACATAGAAGTAAAATCTCAGGAGTAGAATAAAAGTGCTAAGATCTAAAAGCACCAAAAACAACTTTTTAAAAGTCTCTACTCTGTACCTGCTCAAACATACCTTCATATATATATATATATATATATATATATATATATAATTAAAAGTTTTAAACTAACACTAATAAAAACATTAAATATCGCATACATCAGATTCACTGGGTCAACCCCCTACTACATACACACACACACACATTTTTTTAACATTCTAGAATCAAATTCAAATTACGCCAAGTCCCGTTTCTCCAGCCAATTATAGAAAGAGTCCCAAGTTCGATAGAAGTCAGTATCCTCTTTCTCCTTCAATGATAAAGTCAATCTATCCATTTCTGTGCAGTCCAAGATCTTTCTTACAATCAGTTCATCGGTGGGTAGCTCCTCATTTTTCCAATATTGAGCAAATGCAATCCTCGCCTCTGTGATTAAGTGCAACATCAAGTACATTTCCTGTCTGTTGACGTCTTCTGGTATAATGCCTAACAAGAAAACTTCAGGTTTAAAAGCACAGGGTTTCTGTAATATTTCCTCCATCCATCTATGTATTTTAATCCAATACTTTTTCACATTATCACAAGTCTACCACATGTGATAGAAAGTACCCACTTTATGTTTACATTTCCAACATCTATTTGACATATTTGGAAACATCTTAGCTAATCGGCTTGGCGACAAATACCATCTATAGAACATTTTATATAAATTTTCTTTATACGAAGTTGCTAATGTTATCTTGATGTTTCTTTCCCATAATTTTTGCCACTTTTCTAATTCAACATTAAATCCAAAGTTTTGTGCCCATATTATCATAGCTTCCTTAACCTGTTCCCCTTCCATTTTCCTGTTAAGTAAAAAATCAT